GCCATCCACTTTCCACATCGTTCGCCTCTTTCTACCGCCTCTTTAAATATTTAACCATCTGTTGGGCAATATCATATATGCATGAATGTTAATTCGATAAGCGGGTTTTTTCGAGTGAGACAGGTAGAGAACAAGAGGGAGTGAAAGAGATAGAAAGTGAACGGCAGAGAGAAAGAAAGTGAACTGACGATAGAAAGAGAGGTAGAGACAGATTAAGAGAGGGAGACAGAAAGAGAGAGAAACGGACAGGGAGAGAGAGAGGCAGAGAGAGAGAGAGAGAGACAGACATAGCAGAGGAGAGTACAAAGTATATCATTATTCTCCGACTTCAAAAGAATATTTCTCGAATTAACTATGACGTAGAGAGAAAAAGAGCAACGCCAATTTATGATAAATGAACATGAAAATTTTCCCTAGGGCTAAGATTGGTAGATTCTAAGCCAATATTATGCCAGCCCACTCAAAAAGAGAGAATTAAAATGCGTTCGATTCCGTCTCCTTGGAGCTCACCATTTGTAATTAATTTGTTGATTATGATTTATGATATCAAATTTGTATTTATGTAAATGGCGTACTCACCTCTTTATAAATGGTATATCCATCCAGTGCAGCCAAGACCAATAGACAAATCACCGTTACGCTGAGCAGGCAGGTCTCCAGCTCAAGGAGCTCTTCGTAATAGGCCACCTCGGCGAGCTCATCGATGCGCAGCAGAAAAATCAACATTTCTATGGCGATGCTGCCGTAGAGAAAGTCTATGAAATGAGACGGTGTTTGATTAATTTAGCTGGCATCAAATTATCTGACCAGCAGACACACACAATAACAAACAAAAAGAGAGAGAGGGACAGATGGAGATGGAGAGAGAGAGAGAGTTAGTGGGAATGGAAGCAAGTCAGACGCACCTGTCATCTTTTTGCGCTCGAGCACACGATGATAGCACATTAGCATAATTGTCAACAGGACGGCAGCGAGGGCATTCCGCACGGCGCCCGTGCCAATGATAATCAGAACATTCAGCTCCTTGGGCGTTGAGTCAAAGAGCTGATACAGCTGCTCCGTCCGGCGCTGGGGCAGCAGACTCCTGGCCAGCTCGAGACTGTTAACGGCCAGCAGAAGCAGCGAAACAGCTGCGCGCAAATTGTGAAAGGCCAGCAAAGTTTTATGGCACCTGAAACGAGAGAGGGAAACGTGGGTGTTTTCAAACAGGTTGCTCTGTACATAGGCTAGGTAGGTAGGATCCACTAGGCAAGGTCGCAGTAGTAGTAGTATTGAATGCATAAATAGCACAATATCAACAGTTTTTTGGTTTAATTAAGTGGAGTGCATGGCACAGCCAAGCCAGATAGCTAAAGGACCCAGTCGAATAGCTGAGACTGTGACTGTGTGTGTGTGTGTGAGTTTGTGTCTGTGTGTGTATTCAAGTGTTCTTTGTAATTTCCACAATTATATTCAAGTGTTTATGCGACTTCTCTTTAGCTGAGCTTCCACTCACACAGCCATACGAACTCGTCTATTTGCTCTTGCTCATGTTGCCTGGCCATAATCTTAAGTGTGATATATGACGGGCACTGGAGTGGTCCACTTTTTGATTGCATTGCCATGGTTTTGATTCAAATTAGCTAACTAAGTTTTAATAGCCAAGTGAATAGAATCTGACCGCAGATTAATCGGATTACGAGACAGACAGAGAGAGAGAGAGAGAGAGAAAGAGAGAAAGAGAGAGAGAGAGAGAGAGAGAAAGAGTGAGAGAGAGGTAGGTAATCAGTAGAACTTTTGCTAAATTCCCTTAGTTTGCAATTGAGAAGCATATGGA